CGCAACCGAAATAGCAAATCGCGCCATTCGTGGGGTGTGGCCACAGCGCCGCGGAGGCCTGCCAAACACAGCTAGCTCGAGAAAGAGCGAACAGTCTGTCTGGGGGACGAAAACATATCGTCGTCGGTCGTGCTGGCTTACCGCGTCAGTGATTCTATTGCCTGGCGCCTTGTGGACGCACTAGAGATTGATGGTAGGTGTTGATTTCGTAGTTCACTGTGCCTGTCGGTTCTTTTTCAGGCCGCAACCGACAACGATGTGGCAACTAGTGCTGTTGGGCTGGATGAACGAGGTGATTTACTCCCCAAGTCCGTTCGTCTACATAACAACCCTGGGCTTATCCTCTATTCGTAGAGTTTGATGAAGCATTTCGTGTCTTCTGCAGCACTGGTAGCAGCGATAACCGAAGCATTGCTAAAACTAACTCCGTCCTCGTCCCTTTTCTCAAGTCAGTGTAGCTTTCAAAAGCTTTTGTTCACGAATTATGGCCTGACCAACGGAATACGCAGGTCCTTGGGTCTCCGGGACAACGTCGAAACTATAGTGCAGCGGATCAAAGGTAACCGGTTATGGTTCAGCTGTATAGCTATAATTACAGAATTTATTTCAGATACCTACCCAACTGGGCATTCTGTGACCAAGGAACAGCTATTGGAGGTGGTAGCACCAGCCCTGGGCACCAACTGGCCCGGGGATGAAGATGTGAAGAGAGCATTTCGTGTGTTTGATAGTGAAGGACTGGGCTTCATAAAGGTCACTCTGTTGAAAAGGTTCCTAGTGCAGTCTCAGCTGGGAGTGGATGATGCTATCTGTAAGTTTTGTAGTACATTGTGTATCCGACCTCAAGGCAAAACTTTCTGGTCTCTCAGTAGAACAGCTGATACGAGAACACTGTCATATTGACGGTGATGACCTTATCAATTATGAAGGTATATGCCCACTGATGTAATCGTAAACTAATGACATGGTCATTTAATTATCCCTCAGAGTTTATCAGCAGTGTTCAGAACAACTCCCTACAACCAACATGCTAACTACTTTGCATTTTTATGTGTATTATACTGAGTATCAGCATCAAATTGACTGGAAATGGAGATATAATACATGCACCGAAAAGTAGGTCCTGTGATATTGAATGAGCACAATAGCAATTAACTAACATGGCTTTCGCCTTTCGCTCATGTTCTGCAACTGCCAGCTATTTTAGGGAAAACAGGTAAACATTCTTCAAGTTCAACTGACTAACGTTGGTATGATTCCTTCACTGCAAGAGGAAAGAGGTTTGTTGATAAAGTATTATACAAACATAGAATCACGAACTTTCCCCGAGTGACATCTGTAGCGCAGAAATTTCAGCCTTCAATTCAGCATACCACTGCTGGCCACTGGCTTCCAGTTTTTGCTCCAGCTCTTCTGCAGAGCACACAGCTAGATACATAATTCTATTCCTGCTGGCAGGGTTGCCTTACCCTGTCTGTGCATCAGCTTTTGATTCTGGTCCAGCAATTCCTCCAAGAGTGGCATGATCGTCTGTAAGGTCACGTCAGTCTTCAGGCCTGCTACATGTGACAGTGGGTGGGAAACGGTACCAATGTTGGGCCCTAGTTTTCCCTTGCTCTGCCCACCGTTTGGTAAAGGAACACCACACATCCCAGATGAGTGCCTTTCCTGCTCAGCAAACTGACTGGCATGTGTACTCAAACCCGAGATTGGTTGATACCCAATCGATGAGGTTACAAAGCCAATGTTGGCAGGTGGGTTTCCGTCGGGGCTGCTGCTGCTACTACTGCTAGACAGCACAACTCCATCAAGACCTCCCTGCTGCCCGTTGGTCCCAGAGCCAGAGACACTCTGTGGCCGAGACTGTCTCCTTGAGGGCTTCAGTGAACGTGGAAGTGTCTTTCCACCCTTCAGATTTTGCTCTGATGAGCTCTTTTTTACAGGTTTGCTGCTGCTCTCCTTGACTCCTCTTAGATTCTCTGAACTAGCTGCTCTCTGCATGGGCCTCTGAGGTACCCTAGTGTGTGGCACAACTGACGACAATTTACCACCAACGGTAGCATCATCTTTGGTCCGAGCAAATGCCTTCATTGGCTGTCGAGAAGCTGTGGCTGAATTGGCTCCCGTCTTTCTTCTAGGGACATGATCCGGGACAGGTACATGCTTCACCAGACGAGCCAGCTCTTGCTGCACAACAGCAGGCTTTACCCGGAATCCCTCGTTGGCGTCAACACCTTTTCTGCCTCGGTCAGCTGACGACGGTCGACTGTTGGGTCTGCTACTAGGCCTACTGCTAGGCCTGGACCGAGAGCGGCGGGAGCTATCTCGCTGAACTCTCTCCACAGGCACAAATACACCATAGCATGGCTCACAATTAAAGTACCGTATTCCATGCTTGGATCCATTGTTCTTACCCTCAGGTCTGTCCAGTTCAACCCCACCCCACACCCCGGACGCAAACTCCGGGCGACCGTAATACCGCAACGTGCCATACTTCTCTCGTCTGTCTTGACTGGAGAAGAAAACCACCCTCCTTCCAAGGTCGGCTTCAGTAACGAGTGAAGTTTCGGTCTCTCCCCCGCCATTTTCTGGGCTGCTTGCCACTTCCTAAGGAGAAAAATCCAACCGTAAACCATCTTTCGGCAACGGCGTCGGCGGCTCACCTCTCCGTCCGCCATATGTAGGCGAATCGAAACTGCACGGAACCTGCAGCAGCGCCCTCTTTCAGTTTATACCTTGGGGGGCGAGGCGCGACGGAAAGCGAAGCGGCTGTGAGAGATGGGGGGCTTTCCGGTTCTCGTCCTAGCGTTCGGACTCTCTGTCGGCTTTACCTTGGGAAGGAAGCCAGGTAAGGTAAACGTAACGCTGTGAGTGTCAGGTTGCTGTGATCAACGACGAGTGGGCATTATCTGGAACCACCATTCTCTGCAGAGCCCCGACGCAGTGAGCGCGTCGTTTTAGTGACTGGTGCTGCAGGATTCATTGGCTTCCATGCCGCCAAACAGCTGGCGGAAGGCTGGGGCGTTGAGCGGGTAGTAGGGATTGACTCCTTCAACGAATACTACGATGTACAGCTGAAGAAGGACCGTGCATCTTATCTGCTGCGAATAGGGGTGGAGGTAATTTTTTGGGATGTCTCATATTTGTGACTACATTAGTGTGTGGGCAGGTGTACAGAGGAGATGTTTGTGATGGAGAGGTGCTGCAACATTTGTTTGCCAAGTACAACTTCACTGATGTGGTTCACATGGCGGCGCAAGCTGGAGTCCGCTACTCACTGGAAGACCCTCAGGCCTACGTCTCTGCCAACTATGAATGCTTCATCTCTCTCCTTGACTCCATACAGAAATATCCGGTATGTACACTACCCTCCGGTCTTGTGTTTTAATTCTGCCTGCTTTGCAGGCCTATCTGGTCTATGCATCATCCTCCAGTGTCTATGGCAAAAGAGCTACTGTTCCTTTCTCTTCTGAAGAGCCCCTCAAGGCGCCAGGCAACCTGTACGCAGCTTCTAAGATAATGAACGAGCATTTGGCGTCGGCGTACTGCTCTCAGCATGACCTTCACTCCATCGGCTTGAGGTTCTTCACTGTCTACGGTCCATGGGGCCGGCCTGACATGGCTGCCTACAAGTTTGCCGAGTGCATCGTTACTGGAATGCCAGTGCCTCTGTTTGAGGCTGGGCCTGGGGAGCAGCTGAAGAGAGATTTCACCTACATAGACGACATTGTGAGTGGCGTTCTTTCAGCTCTAGAGAGGACACCAGAGCGTTGTGGGGAGGCCTATAACCTGGGATTTGGGGAACCTCTTATTGTGGAAGACATGCTGCATTACTTGGAAAAGGAGCTGGCCACAACGGCTGTCATTGTAAGTTTCCTCCTTCCACACAGCTCTAATCTGCCCCTTTCTCTGTGTGGCAGGACCGACAGCCACTCCCCCCCAGTGACATGATCCTCACTTTTGCTGACATCACTATCTCACGGAATGTCCTAGGGTTTTCACCAAAGACACCTACTGCTGAAGGTTGGGTTGTGTTGACAGTGGCAGCTGTTGTAATACATCCTCCTGCAGGAATCCACCGGTTTGTGAAGTGGTTCAGGGATTACTATGAAGATCGGGTTCAGTGGGAGAAAAAAGGTCGGAGCTCCTCTAGAAATGCTCGACTGGAGTAAGTTGAAGAGTCTTGCAGGAGAGTATATACTTCACACCGTGCCAACTACATTAGGCAGTCACTGGCGGAGAGGGAGAAGGAGGTTTCTGCTGCCCGTCTCCAGAGAACTGCAGACAACAACTCTCTCTACCGAAAGGGGCTGGCTGCTCTCCGACAGAGGTATAGCCACACTTCCTCTGAACACTCAGTTGTAAACTATAGCTACCCAGATACGAGGATGCTGCTAGTGAAGCAGGTGTTCTTTTGCCTGTTTTAGAAAAGAAAGGTTTTATTCTTCACAGTGGTATGTACATCCTGTTTTAACACTTGTTGAGAATGTATTGTACACACCGACTCGTGTGTGTAGGTAAGACCTCTCCTGGATCTACTGTCATCAAGGCTCCTGGTCTCCAACGCAACAGGCAGGTATTATAATCTTCTGCTCACACACAATGATAGGCACTGGGTACGTTTTGGCAGAAGTTGGAGGCCCGTTGCCTGGCAACAGAGCAGTGTGTAGCCTTCACCTCAGAGGGGGAGTTCAAGACAAGTGTTCTACCTCCAGAGCAGTGGTCAGACTCCACACTTGACCTCTATGTTGCTGGTATGTACATATAACATCAGCCTCTATCTGACCTGGTCTCCATTACTTTCACCGCCTGCAGATGTGGATATGTGTGCAGCAGACCTGCACAGATGTGGACCTCACAGTGTCTGCCATTCATCAGGTATGTACTTGGCTGGGTGGAGTAGTCACCGAGGTTAACCCGAGGTACTGTGAGACAGGTCCTGGGACCTATGACTGTGGGTGTGAAGATGGCTACCTGAGGCTTGGCAGGGCTTGTGTGGAGAGGTACAGAGAAAGCACACCGTCAGCCTCTCAGCAGGACTGGCTGCTGGCTGACTTGATTGACGGTGTCGACTGGCCTGCTCTCGTCGAAGACAGGGAGTTTGTCTTCTTTCCTGGGATGGACTCCCCTGGAGGAGACTACCTCATAGTGGGAGAGGGACTGGAGGTGGAGAAGGCATGTCGCAGAACCCCTCACTGTCTGGCCTACAACACCAATGGAATACTGAAGCACAGTCTGCAGCCACCGCAGCAGTGGGTCCAGTGGACTGACACCAGTGGCCATGGACTCTATGTACTGGACATTGACTACTGTCAGATGGGACTGGAGCAGTGCCCCGCCCACTCCCAGTGTGACAGGTCTGCTCCTGGGAACTTCTCCTGTCAGTGTGTGCCTCCCTACCAGTCCAGCGGGGCTGGTGGCTGTGAGATGCCATCCACCCAGGAGGTCAGGGAATTGCCTCCATAACTTGGTCTGAGCTGTTGAACACTGCCCTCCAGATATCACTCATTCTCTCGCTGGACAAACACCATCTGGACGGTGTGCCTGCTCTCCTTCACTCACTATGGCAACACACATCAAAGGCGGACCAGCTGCGGGTGTACATTGTTGCAGTGGACATGAGCTCCACTGCCGTGCTCAGCTACCTCAAATGCCACCAGATTTCCTCCCTCTCGGTTAGTGTCCCCTGCTGTGCTCGTGTCTTCAGTTCCTGCCTGCAGGTGGAGGTTATGGAGTTGGCCTCTGCAGCAGTGAGTCCTCTCAGAAGAGTGGTGGACTCTCCAGACACTGTGGGGAACCTCGCCAGTGCTGCCAACTTTGCCAGATTCATGCTCCCTCACCTCTTTCCCCAACTCCACTACGCTGTCTACCTTGACACAGATACACTGGTGCTGGGAGATGTGGCTGAGGTTTGGAGTCACCTCATCTCCTCCAACAAGATGATGGTCGCTGTTCCCAGGTATATTATAATACTAACACATCTCACCTAATGAGATACAACTACTGCTGTACACAACAGGTCTTCTGTTCCCTATGGAGGACTCTTCTCCAGTCAAGTCAAGGAACTCTTTCAGAGAAGGTTGGCTGGTTAGATTTGCCACAAAAAATAATGTACTGTCTGTGCATTAGATACAAGAAAACCTTCTCTGACTCGGAGCCTTCATTTAATGCTGGGCTATGGGGAATGAACTTTGACATTTGGCGAAGGCAGCAACTGCATGTGGAGGTTGAATACTGGACAGAACAAGTGAGTCTCTGTTACTGATGGTCCCTTTTTAAGATTGTCATGTCTTGTGTGCTAGCATGCCCAGCAGGCTCTCTGGAGGTTTGGAACACAACCCATTCTGTTACTGGTAGCTCATGGACAGTGGGACCATCTACCACTGGAGTGGAATGTAGACGGCTTAGGGTGGAATACATTTATACCTCAACAAACATTAAACTCTGCAAAACTTCTCCACTGGAGTGGCCGGGGTGAGCTGAGCTAACAGCTTTGCTACGTAACTGCATGTTGTTGACACAGGCAAGCCCTGGCAGAGTGATGGTCTCTACCATGAACTCTGGACTCCTCACTTACCCTCCGCATGCAGCGGTCATGGCAGGTGTACACAGAAAGAAGATAATGGGGAATGGGTTTGCACATGTGAACAGGGATACACTGCACCACTGTGTACTATGACATAGCAATTCTCTAGTTGTCGTAAAAGGATGCACTGATGAACTCAACGGCAGACAAAAAGTATGCGGGGCTTATCCAAAAGCACTGGTCTTTGTGGACTGTCTGCCTGTGGGCAAAGGGGGTTACAAAGTAACGCTACACAACACTCTGTATAAATACCTCTCTCCATCTGAGAACTTTATTTCAACTGCCTGCTTAGTGCCTGTGCCTGTTACTGTCCCCGGCAAGCATGCTCCAATACCTACACAAGTGTGCACTAAGAGTTATGTGCTAGAAAAAATGCAACACGTTTTTGGCGACGATAAGCCAGCATTCAATATTTCATGTTTTTGCACGTATTTGGAATCGCGTACACATTAGGGTATTAGCCGGTTCACCATATGGATAAAATTCCGCATTCAGATGACTAGGTGCACTTGCATCACTCTCCAATTATGTTATACTGTGAGAGAGTGACTCACCTGCCATCGCTAGAGCTATAACATGATCTCCAGCCTGAAGAGTCCTACGAACAGTGGGAGGCCCAAACATATGTAGAATGGTCTGTGTCTGCTCTGTACCCTCAGCCCACTGCACTCGATAGCACTGTCTTCCCAACTGCTCTTTCACCACAGCTGTATATATATATATGTACGTACAAACGGTCTCTGACCTTTCACCAAAATTTGACAGGCATACGTACATACCTGGATAGTATACTCCGTCACTCTCTCTTCGTGCTATGACGGTGTGCCCCACCCAGCATTTCCCTCTCTCCTCCAGTAGACTTACTGCTGTTCCATGTTGGGCTGGAGTCAGCTGATGGGCCTCACTTTTGAATGCCTATTACATCATTAGCTGATAAGTGAATGCTTAATGGTATTAATACCCCACTACTGTATATACACTGGCCCAAACCATGAGTACAGGAACATGATGCCCAAGTAGTAACCTTCCACCCACAGACCATGTTTTGAAATGAGACACCCCTTCCGGCCTATGTTATGCTGACTGCCCTGCATAGTGTTCATACCATACAACACTCATTTCACAGGCTGACTGACATTATTTTATATTAGCGTACAACTAGCCTGCAAGCCATCATAGAACTCGACACAGAAAGGTTCAGAGCTGTGGTCAGCAACTGCAACGATAGTGCCTGGAGCAAGCCCTTGGAACATGGGGTGTGGAGCCAGCACTGTTGCTCCTTCCTGCAACCAAAAGGCTGAGGGGGTTATGAGGGTGTTGGTCGGTGACTTACAGCAGTGACCTGGCTGTCAATTGGAAGTAAAATGTGAGAGGAAGGAATGTGAGCTACATCTCCTGTCTCTGCTTGCACTGTCCAACGAGAAGGACTATTGCCTCTGCCTAGTACGGTAGCCTTGCTGTACCAGCTGCTCTGAGGCCAGCAGCAGAAAACCTGAGTCCCAGCTTCCCATTCTGTCGGATAATCATAAACAGACAGAAATTTTATCAAAGCAAGGTCACCTGTGGATTCTGCACTGTCAGTTTCATCCCCCAAACGCAGCTCCGTGGTGGTTGATTTTCCCTCTCTGGCTGTCCCAATACTGGTTGTAGTGCTCTGGTCCACCGTCTGAGGGTTTGTGCAGACAGCCTGCTCCTGTGTGGACACCTGTGCTATAATTCCCTTCTCTTTTGTCTCCACTGACTCCGTTGATGTTCCTCTGTCCCTTTTCTCTAGTGTAGTATGATATGATGAGCATGGAGTAGCCTCATTACTGGCGACCTGTGATGCAGTTTCTGATCCACCATCTGTTGAGTTACAACCGACTTTTATGATAGTCTCCTGTGTTGCAATAGCTTGCTGAGTGGTACTGATAGGATCAAGGGGTTGTTGTATGGGGTGCTTAACCAGCTGGTTGGTGATAGCTCTATATCTTGATTCAGTAATCCTCACTAAACCACTGCGAGACGAGATGACATGATCTCCATTGAAAGTAGTGACAGAAAACAGACTGCACATAGTGGTCTCTGTTGGAACAGCCTGCAACAGTTACGATGTAATTTTTCACATAAAGGAATGCATTGTTCACCTGAACTTGGGCAGGAATGTATAGGTCACAAATTCCAAACATACTGCTGTGATGGCCATGTGGCATACGAACACAACACAATACGTAGTCGTGAGTCCTGAGGTGTGGCTGTGGGCAAGCTCCTCCAACAACTAGCATTTCATCCAGTGGCGTCTCCTGCTTTTCTCCACCTTGAAACTGTACATCTGCACAGTTCTTGGACAGCCCACCAGCCACAACCCCTGTGTTGGCTATTATTACTGCTCTTACACAGAGAATTGCCTACCTCTGTAGTAGAAGCTGTCTGACTTGCAACGAGCCAACACTGTGCTTCCTTTTACCACTCCAACCATGGGTTTCCTGGAGGTCTTGCTTTGTCCAAAGGTTTTTGTTACTCCATGGCTTGCTCTCTTGTGCCTGGGTCTAGAGAGTCAACAATGTGGTCACAAGGCCAACAAAACCCCAAACAACCAGGACAACTTTTATCCTTTATATGCCCTAAAGAGGATTCGAACCCACGACACCTGAGAGCTGTACCAGCTGAGCTACCAGGGCAACTCAATCTACAGCACTATATATACTACAACACAAAGACTAAAAGAAAAGTGGGTTACTAACGTCAATTGATTCCTCTTCCTTTTCGTCTTTGAACTGATGGTAACAGAGGTGGAGTTTTTAATTGGAGTGTGATGGGGTTGAACAGTTTTAGCAATAGCTCTTTGTTCAATAGTAGATTTTGTCTTGGGCATCTTTGGCTGCGTTTTGGAGGATTTTTTTGGCTGTGGATTGTTTTCTGGGACATTTGTTACTACGCAAGATTCACAATTGTTCTTGGCCCTCTCTTCCACTTCCATATGCAATGCTTGTATCTGCGCCAGTATATTTTTGGCTTCTTCCAGCTCACTCTCTATGCCCATGGAAAGGGTCTCTTTGTTGGTTTCATCAGCACAGCACCTGAAAAATGTGCATCTCCTACCACTTAACAGTAGCTAACACACAAACCTCCCACTTCTGAGCAACTCTAGCCTCGCCTTCAGAGAATCAATGACTGCAGTTAGTTTCAGCTCTATTATCCCTAACTTTTGTTCATTTGCATCTACAAGCTATATACACAATAGAAAAGTTCACCGACTCAAGGTCCATAATGCTACTCACATTATACACCTGGCCTGTCGGGTCTGGATGCTGCAGAAAGAGACCTACACCATACTGAGATGTCACTGAACGACCAAGACATTCTACATCACCTGTATATACAAAAAGAGACCCTACTTTTTTCAAATATCATTATAGCTGTTTTTCACCAGCACACTGTTTGAAGCCAAGAGAACCGAGAATCTGAGTAAGAGCCAAGCCACTCGCCTTGAGACCACACTCCTGAAAACTTCCCAACTCTAAAGCAGAGGGAAGATCCGAGCAGTAACCAACCTTCAGACAATCCTGTGACGAGAGATAGTGCTCCATTGAGCCCCACCCACTTTTTGTATTGTTGTGTTGTGTTGGGTTGATGGTTTGCGCTTGCGCACTCGTTACGCGCGCCGCGCCGACGATTAACCCCTTTATATGCACATAACGTGTGAGAGAGGGAAAGCTGCTCGCAAAGGGAGATGAATACCGCTCTCTCTCGTCTGAATGCTGTCTTTGCCTTTAGTCTGTCGGTTCTTGCGTCGTTAACTTTCCTCTGTTTCCTCAGCACTGCTTTTGTGGACAAGACATCCTCCCCATCAATATCTGTCCACCCTGAAGTTATCCTGTAGGTAATGTTATATGCCATGAAATAATTTTACACTTCTCTACTCAGGAGAGGTGCACATGATTTTGGACTGGATTTGAAAGATTTGGCGACACTGAAGTTTGATCTAGGAGCTAGTATCCTTTTTGTACATTTTGAAATATCTCTCTGTATTCTGTTGCCTCCTTAATGCTAACGTTGCCTCCAGATTTGTCCAGCCTTTTTGATTGGAACACAAAACAGTTGTTTGTGCTGGTGACAGCTCATTACCGGACCAGGAACAATGTGAGAGTGACTGTTGTCGATGTGTTGCCTGTCACTCATCCCCTCCCCCAGCCTCGAAACCAGGTGGTTCTGTGGGACCGTATCATCAGGAGAGGAGACTCCGCAATCCTTGACCTGCGCAGTGCCGCTACCAAATACAACTTCTTTGACGATGGTCGAGGCCTCAAGTCAGTTCACACTACTCTATCCCTTTGCCTCTCCCTAAACTCCAGGTATGTCACTTGCAGGGGAAACCAGAATATGACTTTGCAGGTGTCGTGGAATGTGGTTCCAATTGCTGGTCGTCTCCCACTAATTTGGTCTTCACAATACTCCCTCCCATTCCCCAACTCTTACTAGACACTCATCACAACTCATGTATTAGCTAAAAGTACAGAAGATGGCAAATGGTGGAGGTGCATGTGTGTGTGGGTGTGGTCTGTCACGTGAGGTTTCTGCACTGGTAGAAGAGGATGTAGCCAGACTCACTAGCCCCAGTTCGCTGGAGTTGCTGTGCATCAGTCAGACCAAAGTAATTCTCTATCTCATGAGGCTCAATTTCCTGTAGAGAACACCACCACTAACACAATGTACACTCTTACAGTCTATACCTCCACAATATCGTCGTCATAGAGCAACCAGAACCCATGGCTCTTGACGATGGTGATATAATGGCCTCTGTTTGGCCCACTGCCACAGTGAACCACCACTGCTATCAGATCGTACATGTGGTCTGTGCTGTCAGCATCTCCTGACTATAATTAGAAGAAGGGAGAGACACTAACTTCACTCTCTTCTCCCACTTACTGTATTGAAAAGCTTTAGTTCCCATGGAAACACCACACGGTGGCTGAGCTTAACAAACTTGTTGAACTGCTCCACATACTTGAACCTCTTCAGATGGAGAGCCAGGATCAGAGGCAGTTTCTTTACTCTTAGTCGCTTGGTGGCCTCTTGTTTACTGCAGCACTGCTCACAATAGTACTTGGACTCTGAACACAGTCTCTCGTGGGAACTGAATGTTCTGTTGGGGCAAGTGTTGCAGAGTGTGGCATCCTTCATTAGGGCTGTTTCTTACTTGAGGCAGTGGGTGAGTGATGTGTTCTGCTCTATGTCCACTGAGAGATCCAGAAAGTCCTCGTCCTTGCTGCGAACAGTCTCGCACACCAGACATCGGGTCTCATTGGTCAGTGTTCCCTGGAATATGTCCTGTATCCACGTCCTGGATCCTGGCTGACCCACCTCTCGCTGACGAGCTGCACCATCATTGGGGTTAAAGATGGTGCGTGTACAGCACTACCATGGTAGCTACCTGCCAGAAGGTCCCCAATAGTGTTCAGGAGGTAGTTCAGGAACTCGTGGGCATCTTGTTGCTGCATGTTGTCAAACAAAACTACAGAGACAGGCTTTGTGAAAGCTCTACTCAACTCTTACCATTCTCCTTCTTGACTTTAGTTACAAACTTTTTGGGATGCAGGATCCCAAACTTTCTTCTAGAGGTAGCTATCTGGTCAAAGAGCTCAGCCAGCAAGGAGAGTAGGGTGTCTGGTTCGTCAGCAGTCTGCTGGTACGCCAATACCTCCTTCCTGGTCTTCCTTGTTTCTGTCCTTCATCTTTCGTGTTCTGGTCGTTTTTTCCTTTTTTTTGAGTTTTTTTCTCTAGTACGTCTTTGTCATCCTCTCTCGTGGGTTGTGGTGGCCTGTTAGCCCTCGCGTCGTTTTTTTTACGTTTATTCTTCCCGTGACCTGGTTTTGCCGTTGTCCGCATCTCGGGTTGCTTTCGGCGTGTTGCCCGGGCTGTCCGACACGTCCTCGTTACGTCTCCTGTTCCCGTTTCAGGCTAGTCGATCTCTTTGTCATGCGCTGGGGGTTGCCTCTTAGTTCGCTCTCTGCTGTTCCTTTGCCGGGTCTGTTGGTTTTCTTTTTCTGCTCCCTGTAGGTCTTTTCGTCTGTGGGTCCGTAGTCTGCAACTATTTTACCCTTTTTTACAGGGGTCTGCTTCTACCTTTCTACTCCCTTCGTGTGGGTGTCTACACCCCCTACTGGTTTTTGCTTCGCCGACCTTGCTTTAGCTTTCTCAGAGTGTAGTCATGACCTTTGTGTTTCCCCGTAAATTGTTTCCTATGGGGTTATCCTCGACTCGCCCTTTTTTCCTACTGCCTTTCTTTGTCCCTGTGGCTCATCCTGTCCCTTGGCTTTGGCCGGTGCCTTTTCTTCGCTGTCGCTGTTCTTGCTCTACACTTCGGGTCTCTCACCTTTGCTGTTCTTAGTTATTTTCGTCTGGATAGTCTTCGTGGTTTGCTCTGTAGCTTTGCCTCGCCACTCTTTGCTGGTTTGTGTTTGTTTTGTTTCCTTTTGCGACTGGGGCGTTCGCTTCTTACTGTTTTTCTATGGAGTCCGCTCAACTCTCATAGTGTCTTTGACTTTGTTCGTATGTGTGGTTAGGATGGCCCTGCGTTTGCCGTTCTGGTTCACGCTCCCCAAGTGTCTGATAATTTCCCGTCAACCTGGTTTTGCCTGGCTCTCTACGCTCCCCAGCCTTCTTTTTCATTGCCTGCGTACCGTTTTTTATGCCTGTGTTTTATGTCCTTTGTTTCGCTCTTTGGCTATTGTGGTTCAGTGCGCGACAGCTGGCGAGGGTGTCTCATTTGGTCATTCTCGGCCGGTCTTTACTTCCTCGGCCTGTGTTATGTTCTGTGCTCCAGTACGGGTCTCCCAGTAGCGGCTCCGTCTCTGTTCTTGTGTCTGTTTGGCTACTAAGGTTTACCCCTTGTTCCTTGTTGTTCGGGGTCTGGCTTTCCTCCTCTCTTTTTTGCATTACACCTTTCTACATGTTTTCCGCGGTGGCCGTGTATGCTTGTAGTCCGCGGAGATTCGTGCGGTCCCTTTATGGTGTCCTGGGCCGTCACTCTCCTTGTGCGTCTTCTCCCGCGTTTTCCGTGATTTGTATCTGTTTTGATCTCCCTTCGCCGCCCCTTCTCGCGTCAGGTTGTGGCTCCCTTTTCGCTCCTTTGTTTTTGTTTCTTGCGTTTACCTTTCCTGTCCTCCTCTTACCTCTCCGTGCTTTGCTACCATGTTTCTCTCCCGGTTCAGATTCTCGGGGGGTGCTCGTGATGGGCTTCTGTTCCTTCTTATCGGTCGTCACGTGGGCTCCGCTGGTTCTTGACCTTGTTTGCGGTATGGTCTCTCGGTATCCGGCGGCCATCTGCGTGCCCCCTTTATTTTCGTTTTGGGTTTGTTGCTCTGGTTTGTGGCCCGATCGGGGTACCGTCGTCCTGGCGGGACTCTGTGGCTCATTTGCGTTTTCGTGCACTTTTCTCTTGCTTGTGTTCGTGTACCCTCCCGCAGGGGGTTCGGGACGCCACTTTGAAGTCCGGGTGGTCGGCTTTGTTTTGTCTGGTGTCATTAGTGCCATGGCCTCCTTTGCTTCTTACGGTCGCTTAGGGAATTTTTCCACGCCGCAATTTTTTTTTTTCGTCGTGGCGCTAGAGTTATGTTCCGGTCCCCGCTCCCTCGTTCCCCTTTCGCGTGCTTAATTTGTTGTTTTTGTTGTGCGGCTCATCTGGAACCCGTTCCTTCGTGTCTCTGTCTTTTTTGGCCGTTCCGCCCTTCATCCCTGTTTTGTTACTCCTTTCCCGCGGGTCGGTCCTTGTTGCCCTTCAGCAATACTTTCGGTCTCTCCCTGTTTTTGTAGTCCTCATGGTAGCACGTGGCCTCGGGTGCTCCCCCTCTATGATCCTCGGCCCGTAGGTTTTGTTCTCTTAGCATTGTATTGTACTCTCCTGCCTGCTCCTTTGCCGTGCTTTTTGTCTGTGCCTCTCTTGCATCCATTGTTGTCATGGGCGTGGTTGTTTGTGGTGTTTTTTGGTCTCCTTGTGGGGCGCTTGCTCTATATTCGTCTTGCGTGTTTTTTCTCTCCCCCGGTTCATTTTGTTCTTGTGCCTTCCTGCGTGCGTGTCGGCCTCCTTTGTGGGGGGGGTTTTTATTTCCCGCTCTGGTACTGGCATATAATCGTTGCCTTGCTCGGTTGTCCGTTACGGGGGCGCGCTCCGCGCCTTCCCTGGGGGTGCGCCCCCCTTGTCATCTTGCCTTGCCGGTGTTCCCTTGCGTCGTACCTCGGGGTTCCTTCCATTGTACTTTGTACGCTGTGTATCTTGTTTCTTTCTTGTAGTCTTTCTTGTCTTTGTCTGCTTCCACCTCCGGCTTTGTGTCCTTGTTTCCTTCGCCGAACTCTAGAATCTCCTGTCTGCCCGCGTCCCAGGTGAATCTCTTTTAGTATCGATTAGTGTTCGTTGGCTGCTCGTCTAGGAGGTCGGGCTCTCCCCCCCGGGTCTCGGCTTCTTCCGGTTATCGTATTCCGTGCCTAGTCCCGGAGGTATGAGGGGTGTCTTGTCCGTTCGTTCAGCTTATCTCTCGCTCTGTCCCTGATCACCTGCTCGGACCCCGGGTTTCGCCGCTCTGTCGGTCATCATTTTTCCCCTTCACCTACTGTCTCCTCTCCGGATAGAGTCGTACGTTATGGCTCGCTGCCTCTCTTTTGGTTCCTTGTTATCCCCCCGGCCTGCGCCGCTTTTTTCTAATGCTATTGGTTTTATCGATATGCTTTAGTTCTGTGGATTCTGCTCTGGCCTTCCATTGGTGTTTGGTTTGCCCGCTTGCATCCGGTTTCTCTCTTAGTCCCTCTAGACCGTTTTATTGGGTTTTCGCTGGGTTTCCTGGCCTTGTGTTTGGGTTGTCTCCACTTTGCGTGACCTCTTACTGTCGGCCTTACTAGTCCTTTTGCTGTCACCATTGGCTGGGGATGCTGGGTCTTGGATCTCTCTTCTTGACTGCTGCCCCCGCTTTGGGTTGTGCTATATCTTCTCCCGCTCCTAAGGTTTCTTGTCCTTGATTTCCAGCGCTTGCTGCGCCTGTTTTTTTCAGCGTCTTGTTCCCGTTTTTTTCTGCGGTCTGTTTCCGTGGCCTTTGTCCTCCTCTTCGAATTCCTCGCTCCTCCTTCTCCCTGTTGTATGTTTCTGGCCTTTATTTTGTTTCGTGTTCGTCGTTGCGTACCTGTCTTGCTCCCCATCGGGTACGATTCTACCTTTATTTTTGTTGAGTCGTGTTATCTCCTCTCTCTGGTCATTGTATCGTGGGTCCTGATCTTTCTTCGTCGTTCCTCGGTTTGTTCCTTGCGGGCCTTTCTTTTGTGTCGTCATGTTTTCTAATTTTTTGCGCGCCTCCAGAGATCGTCTTCTTCCATTGTGTCCATCGTGAATCTCTCCTGTGCTAATGGTGGAGTTGATGTCGTTTGCAGCCGCTCTTTTTCTGCATTTCTTTTGTTTCTCTTCCTTGTGTCTAAGTCCGGTCTCGATCCTGTCTCCGGTCGAGGTCTGTGGCACATGGCGCACGTGACGGGTAGCGTGCGCGTGTTTTAGACGCCGTCCGGCCTGGTGTTCCTGGGTCTATTCATGAACGGCAGGCGAACGAACAGGAAATAGAAGCGCCTGCCTCTGAACTACAGAGTTCACATAGCAGGAGTTTCCAAACTGCAGAAAGTGCGGACAGTGAGCGAAGAATACCGCTATGCTACGACGTCTCACGTTCGTCAACCCTAGGTAGTGTTCTGGAAGATTCTCGCCCAAAGATCGCTCCAAGTGAGACACTTGGCCACCCTGGTATACACACAACGAAACTCGATAAGTCAAAACGCATGATACGCTCCTTTACCATCGCCTAGCCTAGCTCTCTCTAGCTCTCCTTCCACTCCGAGGCTTCCGCCGTTAATTGGTTGCACCACCCACCCGAAAGTGATTGCGTGCATGCACTAACGTAATCGACGTGAACGGAACGTGATTTTATGTGGCGCATGGCGCACACGTTTGCTCGAATCGCTCAGTGCACTTTGAAAAGACCTAAAAAGTTGTGACGGATATAATTACAATGCAGAGAGTCAAATCTCCAAAAAGAAGTAATTCCCAGACTTCTTCTGCTCCGAATCCTGTAGAAAGAGAGGATACTGGCACTGGTGGTTGTTGTATACAGTGTCACTGGACCTTGACTGAGTGGAG